CGTATCCCCTCGGATCGGAGACTCCCACACCGGGGGTCCACCCTCAACCAACGCTTCCTCAAGAGCAGGGACTCCCCCTTGTCGGTCGGACATGTCCTCAGGAGCCGACGCCTCTTCCTCGCTCGATAGCGCCTCATGAATTGAGACGTCATCATCCGCCTCTGATTCACCCATCTCTCCGGCCGAATGGCCCTCCCGAGAGGGAGGATCCTCTTCTCCAGAAGCTTCATGGGAAGGGCCGACTGTGAATGCAAGGAGAAGATTAACGAATGCCCCTTCGGCACAGAGGGATCAACAACGCTAAAGCCTACGCTTACCTGAACCACCGAGGCCTCCTCCTCTTTGTCAGAAGGAATGGAGATCACTCTCTCAGCTGCACCTGTACAAATTTGACACAAATGTCTGGAGATGCAGATCTGACTTTGTACCCGAGAGTACCGCACTAAAAGATTACCTCCTAGTGCGGGCATAGGAGTCATTGAAACCCCTGCCTGCGGCCCTACATCAGACGGAGGAGGAGTGTCCTTCGAAGTCGTCGGAGCCATCCGCGATACGGCAGAAGGAGTGGACTGAGAAGCTCCATCCCCAGAGGCAGTCACTCCAGGAATAATCGCCTGTGCAGCATCATCCTGATCCTCCACCACTCTAGCGGAGCCTTCTTAGCTGCTTCTGCTCTGGAGCCTTCGGCCGCCGTCTCCCACTGTCGCTTAGAGATCAGCGAACTACTCGGAGGTAGGAGGGGCATCCCCATCCGCCCAGCTATTGTGCTTCGGGCTCGCTCCAGCCGTTCGCCCACCCAGATTAACTTGTCAGATTCTCCCCGCTCACTTTGGGGGTCCAACGGAAGACTAGGAGAGGGAGCTCGGACCTCGGGCGCCTTAGATTCGTCTAGACCCACGTCGAAGCCCTCGATGTCTTCAGCCGGATCCTCTGAAAACCGCTCCCTAGTAGTTTGGCGACCCCTCTACCTCGAAGTACGGAGAGGCCCTCTAGGAGGACGCCCATGCTCTGCCAGACACGAGCTCTGGAACCAGAAGCCATCAGGATTAGCGCTGGCACCCCGATACCACCGGAAGTACAGGAGCGTATGGTGCAAATCACGATCCTTCGCAGGTAGTTCAAAACGGGCATGGGTACCACCAGCATGAGTCCAGAACCATCCCCAAGCTCCATCCACCAGCCCTCCTTCGAAGTGCAGGCGGGGATTGACATTGCCCATGTACAATTGGTCGTACCCAAACTGGCGGACAAACTTGCAAGGGATATACGGCTCGAGATAGCACACGGAGCCTGTTCGTAGTACATGATACCCCGGCCGAATGTTAACCAACCATCGAAAAACGCCACAGGAGAGAACCGTGTGATGGTCCGCCGTTGGCACATCTCTAAGAGACTCCCCATATCCTCCTCCACTGAAGTAAGGGAAGAAACGGCGAAAGTTATAATGCCCAAAGTGGGAGAGCGTCTTCTGTGCATCGGGAATATCCTTACACTTCCAAGAGCACCTCTCCAAGCGCTGAACGAATGGGACGAACTTGTCTCCTTGAAGAGTCGCTGGGGCACTCATCAAGCACTCGCAGTGGTATATGAACCACGCCATTAGATAAGTGTATGGCAACCCCACCCTAGGGTTGGGGGTCCTGATGACCTCTCCTTCCCCCTCATCGATAGTCGATATGGGGCAGAATTGGACCGTCAGGGTGCGGAGTCCCTGATGGATACACGCTACCATCGCCGACACCAAGGAGTAGGACTTCCCGTGGGCTAAGCAAACCGCAGGATACACGACCTCCACGGGAAGCGCCTCAAAAGAATGAGTGGGGATTACGCACCTCTTCAGCCACAACATGAGGTACCCCGCGAACAGAGCCTTTCCAGATATAGGGGACTGGGCCTGGTGGTGAAACGAGTGGAAGACCATTCCGGATTTGAACCCGCCCTCGTCATGATCGAGAGCTACAGTGGCTTCCCCTTCGGCCATCCTCCTTTCCACCTTAGCCTGGTCACATTCGCTCAGCGGCAGAGCAGGCCTTCCTTTGACATCATTCTCAGGGAATAAATAATCAGGAAAAGGTCGCTCTTTGGAAGAGCTTCGTCAGAAAAGGTCGCTGTAAGAAAGAACCAAAGAATCAGGACAGAATCCGCCCGAAGGGTAAATCCGCCTATCAAGCCAAGACGGGCGAATTCGCCTGTTAAAAGATGAAATCCGCTTAACCAAAATGAGATCTGCCTGTCTAAGCGATACTCCCCTTTACCAGAGAAGAAGTCGAACTCGCCTATCAAAAATGAGTTCGCCTTCACCCAATAAAGGTTAATTTCGCCTGTAGAGACAGAGATCGTCCTCTACGAATAAATGTAAAATCCGCCTAAAAGGGCCGACTTTGCCCCAAATCGGGGAAGCTGCCAAAGGATGGCTGAATCCAGGGAGGATGAGCGATACCCATCCTCCCAACCCGACGTCTATAACCTACACCTTGAGTTACCCAAGTACGTCTCAGGCATGCTGGCGGGTGCACCGGTGGTGAGGCGGTCAGAATAGCGTCCGAGACCTCCTCCCTTCGCAACACACTTCTTAGATTTTGGCGCCATTGAGGGGATTAAGCGGGAACTCTCTCTCTTTAGAAATTTTTTAAGATTCCTGAGCACGGTAGCTCTCAAAGGAAGGGACCAGCCTATTTAAAGGTGGGAGTGCTTACGTGGCAACGATCGCCCTCAAAAGGCGAAACACTAGCGGACGAGAGACGTGACCACGATCGAAATCAACGGCCCAGATGGCCCCCAACATTTCGAAGGAACAACCGAAATGGGTAACAGGCCG